TTTTTTTCTTGGAAATACATCTGAAAAAACACGGTCGTCTTATATTCAGGGTCTAGACTTTGACATGTCAATAATACACCCACAACAATAGGTGGCGCCAAATACGCAAAAAACGAGTGTGCCATGAAATACCTAATGTAATGCGTGTTGTAAAGATGAAAAGCTTACAGCTGCATGAGTCGTGACTGTCAGGTTAGCCTGATGGGACTAAACTCGCTTTGTGATTTTAATACGCAAGACAGTACCCAGATTTGAAGACTACAGTAAGATTTAACTTCTACTGTTAATAAGATTTTGGTAGGCTACTATTAGATGGATAGCCTAAATGTCCTAATTCAGATGGGCCACCTGTTTTTTTTAATGGTATATCAAAAAGTGTATATTTTTAAAATGTGATTGTTGGTACATTTTACCAGTTTTTACCATACTTTCAAAACAAACATTTAAATAGGAAAAATATGCAATATGAAAATAATTGAAGACAAAATGTGTTTTAATGAGAAAAAACAAGATTTGTTTTTTAAAAAGCCTTTTTCCAAAAAGTACATCTGGAAAAAGGGGGGTCGTCTTATAATCAGGGTCGTCTTTTATTCGGGCCAATACGGTACATACATATACATATATACGACTGAGCAATAACTTCCCCACCCCCAGTGATTTCGGCACCTGCCCCTCAAAATGTCTGTGCAGGGCCCTGGCAGGGTAAGTAACATGTGCTGATTTAAACCAAAAGGAAATGGATGTTAATGGCCTTCTGTCTCGTATAGTGCGCTTATGCGACTGGAAATGTTTCTTCCCGTGGACTCTAGAGGGGGCATGTTTTGGAGCGAAAAACATCAAGTGGACAATTGACAGATCAATGTTTACTTCAGCCTATTGCAGTTGCAAGTATAGTTCTTTTAACAAACATTTATAACTTCCGTTATAAGGAAGAGCAAAGTCTGAATGCACGCGGATGATCTCACCAAAACAAGGTCCACAGCCGTGCACAGGATATAGAAGACAAAACTATGCAGCAACCAAATACATGTTTTTAAAAAACTCACTTCAAGTCGTGCTATCTGTCCTGCACAGTATTTTGCATTACAAACTACGTTAAACTCGATCTGTCGTGCTACCTGGCCAGTCCGCTCGATTTGCCCCCTCCATCCACCGTAGCCTCCGTCTCAGAACCTCGTTTTCTTTCCGTGCCCGGATCGTCTCTTCTTCATACTCCAGCACCGTATCGCCGACCATCTCCATGATCTGCTCCACCGCCGCCATCAGACGCTCGTTCAGCGCGCGATGCAGCAGCTGCAGTTTGGTCATTTTGTATGGTTTTTTTTTGTCTCTGCAATACAGCAGCAAAGACAAACCTCTGAAAAAGCTAGCTATCCCCGTTGCATGAACAGTTTGCCTTTCTCCTCCAAATTTGGAAAGTAGCTGGTAGCATCTGACTGCCACCTACCGCACAGGAGAAGTACTACCGTTCAGCTGCAGAGCGAAAGCCATGCTGCAAACTATAGGTGGGAGGAGAGCAAACTCGGTCGAAAGGAAGTCCACACAAAATGGTAGTAGTTGTTATTTTATGTACAAGAATAAACAGGGTTTAAGTATTTAAGTAATGAGAAAAATTAAATTTAAACAAGTCGCTTTTGGGAGGCGATAAGGTACAACAACAGTACTCTTCTAGAGTTTTTTTTAACATTACGCAGTACGCATTTTTCTTTTTCATATCACAAAAAAACGTTAGTGTTTTGTTTTAAAGTAGTTTAGATAACTGAGATAGCTGCAGCGGTGCAAAACTCCACAGATTACCTTTACAATGAATAATATAGCAGGCAAGTTTCATATTCTTTTGAGAATATTCTTTACAAATATGCACAGCTCCTGCTAAAATGAGTAAGGTATAGAATTGAAAGTCTTGCGGGGACCCATCATCACAGGACCCAAGATAACGTTTCCGGTTGTCACTCCTAATGACGGCCCTACAAAAATGTGCCATCATGATAACCACCAAAAATAATGTAGTAACTGGAATTATCTTTACTAATTTAAAACTGTGGTAACTTAGTATTATTTATTAGAGTCATTAAAAAATATATATTCTGAAAGCTTATGCTGTTTGAAAAACATTAATTTAATACAGGTATACACTAGTAACACTTACTATAGATTATGGTTCATTGTTTTAAATGAAATCTACATTAGTGGACCATTTGCATAAATTAGTTGTGAAAAGATAGAACCCCACTAAACCTGGGAGAAATCTGGGGTCTACTACACAGGGACAGAAAAACAAGACCATTAAAGTGTGAAAGATGAATTGAATAAACTACCAATAGAATAACAATATAAAATGTCACTTACAAAGAAAGAATGCTAAATGCACTATTGGTGACAGATAAATAGCTAGAAGATTATAGAATGTTTATGACACGATAATTATGGCATAATTATCATACTGTTAGTAACAGAATCAATATAAATGCATTTAACATTGTGGTAGTAACTGGTGATTCAGTGCTTTTGGGTAAACAATATCTAAATAACAAGGTTGTAAAATATTTTTAATATAAGGCAAAACTGAGCATCCCTAGGTATGCATATTACACACGTACACACACATACAGTAACTTCACAATGGCCATAAAAACATTTTCCTCAGATACATACATTTACTGATGTCAAATTAAATTGAATCTAGTTTATTCAGGTGTATGTTGTTACATACGACAAAGTTCCTAATTTTACAGTCATAAGATACATCTTCTCAACTTACATGATTTTCTTCCATTTTGCAGTTTAAGTCAATTTTGCCATTCAGTCTACCACATTGATTCATATCCTAATATACTGCTTTTAGATTTTCTCTGTAATTCCTACAGTCACCAAAAACCTGGAATTTTCCAATTGTAATGTGTAGTCCTGGAAATATACTGGAATTAATCAAAGTAATGAAAGTCATTCCTTCCTATAGTGAATATACATTTTTTTTATAGTTACACACTGCCTAAAAATATTTCATTGGCTAGATACTGCTCTCTGTGGAGTATTTATTATATTAAAACATCAATCTGGAAGTATGGTAAGTCACGATACTCAGTATGGAACACAAAGTGGTCTTCCTCAGAGGGGCAAATGTTCATTCTCAATGTTTTTTGGCTTACTGGGGACATTTGTCCACATATACTGCCTGAAAAAGTCATAGAAATGTTGGTCAAACAGCATATCGGCCTTCTGTATTTTCTGAAACATGGAAGCTTCTAATATACGTGATAAAACAATAAATATCCCATTATATGTAATGAAAATCGAGTTTCAGCTCTCTATCACAATAACAGGTTCTTTCTTGAGGTGTGCCTGCAGCGATCTGGCAACAACGACGCACTGGTCACTCGGCGGGCAGCTGTTGATCTTCTAGTGCGTGCGACGCTGGTTCTTCATTGAAACTCCGGCACGTGCGCTCATGTCTCCTCATGTTCCCGCTCTGGCTGAAGGTCTTTGAGCACCAGTTGCAGCGGTAAGGCCGTTCTCCGGTGTGTGTGCGCATATGCATCCGAAGGTAGTCAAACTTAGAGAAATTTCTGCCACACCAGTGACAGATGAAGGATCTTTCATGCAATTTCTTGTGCAGTTGCAGCTTTGCCAAGTCCTTTAACAGCCTTCCACATTTGTTACACTTATATGGCCCTTCATGATCGTGATCTTTTGTAAATGCTCTTCTAGGTTTGGTGTATCGTGAGCGATGGTGCTCCTTTCGCTGCTGTCTCCTCGACATGGTTGAAGTGTCACTGGCTGTTCTCATCTGGTCTTGACATTGACCGGCATGGGCAGGGGTGGTAGTAACCGAAGATGTTATTGTGACGATGGTGTCCTCGGGCTCAATCTTGACCCTTGGTGTTGCCGCAGTGGGCACATTCCTGTTCCACATCTCATCCGTACTCGAGCTGTCGAACTGAGGGAAGAGTCGTTGTTCACCTGCAGATGAGACATCTTTTTGATGCACTAGCTCTCTATCCTCTGCCTCCGTCTTACAGATTGAAATGACATCTAGTATGCGTGGCTTCAGTTCACTAGGTGAATCTTCACTCTGGGCACCGCCCTCCGTTTGCTGATCTTCTGGGTCTTCTGATTCAGCTGGGGACCCATATCCACATGCTGGTAACTCAGTGGGTGAGACTTCATCAGGAGGGACATAGTGGACTCCTGTATGGTGAAAGCATGAAAACGGCATTCACTTACTTATATATATATATATATATATATATATATATATAAAATTATTAATAGCCGTATTGGTCATTTTATTCATAGAATGCATACAAACGCAATTATGACAGTTTTAACCACATAAGGATGTACAGTGTGACCTTTTAGTGCGTGCAACAAATTATTTGTAATGGCTGAATGTTTATCTCATTGAAACCTGTTTGACATAGACTTTTGGTGTCATAGAGTTAAAGGGTTAGTTCACCCAAAAATGAAAATTAGCCTGCGTTTTACTCACCCCTGAGGCATCCTAGGTGTATATGACTTTCTTCTTTCAAACGGAGTTATATTAAAAATTGTCTTTGATCTTTCAAGCTCTATCATTGCAGTCAGCAGGTGTCACATTGCTTCAGTCCAAAAGAAGTTAAATAAAAAGCACCCATCCATAAAAAGTCAGAAAACACAACGACAAATCCAAAAACAAATGAACAAGTCAGAAAACACAACGACAAATCAGACAAACCGGAAGAGGTAGGTATAGTTTGAGACAGCGCCATTGGTTTGGGATTACTCACCGCTGACTGGACGAGACATCTGTCAATCAACGTATACAGGAAGAACCAGCCGAAGAACAGCAGAGTCGTGGTAGAAAGTTCGGAGATGGTATTAAAGTAGCTCAGTTTAAATGTATTGTATGAATTGCCCTTACTATGGAATAAAAAATATGGGGTGTCTATTTACATTTAGTTAAAAGTGGTTGTAAATCATCAGTTCCAGTGGCGCAGATGGATTAGCACGTGTCGTTGGCTTTTGTGACGCGATCAACCCGGGTTCGATCCCGCCTTTTGCCAAACTTTTTTTCCCTCCCTACACATTTTGCTGTAATAATGCAGGGAACCACTCGTTATAAATCTCCTAACTGTGATTTTTCAGAAATAGAAGTCGCGTTTTTTCATCTGAAACGTGCTGCCAATTATTTTCCAAAGCCACTCATATAATGCAGAAACACTCAAGCAAGCAAAACTTGCGCAACGCGCGCACGTATTTGTACTGGTGCAGAATAGTACAGCGCATTTCACACAGGCTGCTAGATTCACTTTCGCCAGAAAGTCGTGTATGCCTAAGGTTAAAAATAAATGACGTTTATAGTGAATGCCCCTATAAATGGTCTTATTTTTACGATTTAGTTTTAATCCAAATGATGCGTGTGCTAAGTGAGTGAACATCAAAGATCACACAACAGATTTGCGTGCTCTCTCGCTCTCTCTCTCTACCGTTAAGTAACTTGTGCATTGTTTTACTTTTTACATATCCGACCGAACTACAAACTTTCCAGTGATGTCTGTGAGAAAGATATATTCACTCGACAAGCTCACACATCTGCGCCGCCGCCGCGCACTCAATCCACTCAGCGTGCTTTGTTGATCAGCTCGCGCACATCAGCAATACAGGCATTAATACTGAATGTTTAACATTATATTCATTGCATACATATACTTCGTAGTAGACATCCTTAACTCCTTTCTGCTGTCTGTTGTTGGTGTTTCTTTGCTTGAATATGGAGCTTATCACATGCTGTGTGGTATCGGCGTTTGGTATCGGGGCATTTTAACGAGTATGAGTACAGGAGCTCAGTATCGGGCCCAATACCGATACCAGTATCGGTGCATCCCTAACTCCGACTGGATTCGTCTGAAAGAAGAAAGTCATATACACCTAGGATGCCTCGGGGTGAGTAAAATGCGGCCTAATTTTCATTTTTGGGTGAACTAACCCTTTAAGTGCACTATTGAGACATTACATTTCACATTACATGCATTAGTCACAGCAGCCATTTAGGCAACCCATTGTTCCTTTCATCAAGATCACAATCACTTCTGCATCATCATATTTTCATTATTTGCATGAAAAAAAATTATTCTCCATTGTTCCCAATTTCTATAAACACTTATCTATTAATTTCACTAAAATTATTTCTATGATTTGAAATTTAACGGAATCGAGTTTAGTAGACTCAAACTGCATTTGGTTATTATAGATAAAAATTCCCTTGATTAGGTCAGACAGTGCGGAAGTCAAAGAGAAGAAAAGAGGTGTGGCCTAAAGTTTGAGATCTCTACCTTTTTTAAAAAATTTAAAAAAAAATATTTTTTTTTTTCAAATCCGTCTCTTACTTTCACTAAGGCCTTTATTTATTTATTATAATTATTATTACCGTTATTTGATCAAAATACAGTAAAAACAGTAATGTTGTGAACCATTATTACCATTTAAAATAAGGTTTCTATATTTTAATATATT